TTGAAAATGGTGTTTTTAAAATTTAAAGTTTTTTCGTTTATTACATTAAAAATTACAAACATTTAAATGTAAATTTTTTACAATAAATTCAATATATTGTTGAAGATGTTATGTATTAGATTGAAGCGAGGTGAAGAAAAAGAATCGATTATCTCTGCATCCACTGCAATTACAAATTGCAAAAGAACTCGATAAAAATGATTTACGGATCTTAAAAACAATTTAATTTTCTAAATAATTTCTAAAAAAACTGGAATTTAACCTTTAAAAAAAGCGATTAAAGGTAACTTTAAAGCATTGACACCATTTTTCAAATTTCGTTAATTAAAAAATATTTCTTCTTAAAGATGGACTTTTTAGATATTAAATTTAATTTTTTTTTCGTTCGAATTTTAAAAATTGTTTTCTTTGATTAGAATAAACAGCTAATTTTTACATTGTTGTTGATTACACAAAATGTCTCATTCATGCTAATTAGATAATTTCTTACATGTTTTCGGTTATACAGTTTTTACGGCTTACATCAGATTTTATAAAAAAATATTTAAATTATCATAAAACTGTATCAAAGATCTGAACAATGTTTCATTATTACGAGTGTATTGAGTAGCCATATAACCTGTTTCGTTACATATCTATATCTATATATATCCTCGTTATAATAAAACATGAATGAGTATGTATCGAATGAATTAAGTAATCTATATATATATATCACTCTAATAAGGATGATGATTTTCTTATTTTTAACTCCTCGCCCTATAAGACATTAAGAGAGCCTTTCTACCATGCACACAGTGGGGATGCCAGGCAGTGAGATGGGGTCCAGTACATCCACGACAGACCGCCCACGAAAAATTCCTGGGGCTTCTTGCCTGGATTCGATCCCGGGTTCCCCAGAGCGATAAGGTGACGTCTTAACTGCCTCGTCCATCTGGCTGTTCAAGGATAGTCATTAATGTACTGTACGGTACATATGCTTCATTATAACGACTGTATTAATTCAATATACAAAATCTATGTTTAACTGTAACGATGTTCATTAAAGTATGTAATTTAAGCTTCATTATAAGGAGACGTTTACTGAACTATGTAGTCTTTCACTAAAACGAATACGTATTGACAGAACATACGTAACATATATACACAATTACTCACAATTAATTTATTTTGATTGGGTTTTATGTTAATTATAATTAAAAACTGCCAGCATAAACATAAAAATGAAACGATTATATTCATTTAAATCCAATAAAAGTTGACATAAATCCACCCACACGTCCCAATTTTGAAAGGATTACAAATTTGTTTACAAATAATTCTTGGAATTGTATCTATATATTATCATCATTTGTATATATAAATTTTATCAAGATTCTTCATTGAAAAAAACCCAAAATTTAAATATCAAAAAACTTCATATGCAACATGATCCATTTGTGTCTTTAGAATAGTCAGGATCAACATGTTTATTAGTATTAGCATGTCCTATATAGATGCGGAAGTTCAACATTACTATTGATAAAAAGGTGAAGGTTGTTATCCTTATCTTATTTTTTATCTTGAATTTTATTAGATGCATATAGAAGATTTTTTAGGAAAGGTTCACTCCGTTGTGCCCACAATAAATCTTCCATTTCTAGTGGGATTTTTGAAATTATGCCCACTTCTTCCTAATTTAAGAGTAATGTATAGACAGTTATGTAAATTATTTTAGTACACTTTTAGCTAAATTTTTGAGAAATGTCCTCTTCTTTGTCCTGAAGTTTACTAGATGCATCTAAAAAAATCCTTATTTTAAATATGCATACATTATATGAGAGTAAAACTTCAATTTGTGATTATTTCAAATTAAAAAAATATTGCAATGTATAAAAAATATTGTAAATTATTTCGAGCAACTTTTTATGATAAATATCTTAGGATTTTTTACTACATGCATCTAAAAAATTTTAGAGAAGGTTCCTTCCATTATANTTAGGCTAAAACTCCTAAATAAATCTTACATCTATTTATTGATTTTTTTCTTTGTTAGAAACTGGAAAATTCTAAATGGTGTTTTATCTTTAATTTATATTAATGTTTACCGGAATAATATACAGTCTATGTCCACCCTGAAGTTCCATTCTAAATATTGGTAAAAGAATTTTTGAAATCGGATGAGTAGTTTCGGAGATTACCCCTACATCCAAACTTACAAACATTACCTCTTTATAATATTAGTATAGATAACAGAATTATCTTATTTATGTATATAGTAGTATACGTGGTATAAGTTTTAGTTTATAAGCTGTAATGTAATGTATATAGTCTACATTATGTGTAAAGTAAGCTCTAGACCAGTGTTTCTCAACGGGGGCGATATCGCCCCATATGGGCGTTTTTCCGTGTTGAGGGGGCGATTAGTAACAATTTATATTTTGGGGGGCGAAAAACAATTTACTGGGCGATATAGTAAAACATTATATTAAGAACAATTAGATATTTTATTCGTTATATCGTACAATAATTAAACAAATAACATTATACTAGTCACTGGTCTATTCAATGCAGTACGAATTTGGCGTTAGCCTTGGCCCTCGACATCAGAATTATGAAGTGAAGTGAAGTGAAGGGGGCGATACTAAGTTAAAGGGGGNTTATATTAAGAACAATTAGATATTTTATTCGTTATATCGTACAATAATTAAACAAATAACATTATACTAGTCACTAGTCTATTCAATGCAGTACGAATTTGGCGTTAGCCTTGGCCCTCGGCATCGGAATTTTGAAATGAAGGGGCGATACTACGTAACGGTTTTATTGAAGGGGGCAACGATTCGTTAGAGGTTGAGAAACACTGCTCTAGACAATATAAACCGTATATAAATTAAATCCTACACATAAGCACAATTCTGTACATTTACTTTATACACGATATAACTTTATATGAAATATTTTGTGTCATGTATATACGAGCGAATAAACAAAGATCTAAAACATAAATTGAACAATTCTATAGACGTATTTTTAAACAATGTAAACTCAATATTCTGAACGACTTTAAACATTAAAACGATCAGGAGAAACACTAAAAACTAAACTGTAAACGCATTTGATTCTAAATTGTAAAAGCCTTACTGTCCTTTTTAATTCTAATATTATTTTTAATTGTCTACTTGGACTTAATTTATTAATAGGACATAAGCTGGTGTTTAAAGATTGACACAGCAATGAAAGTTAGTTCAGGAAATAACAAAATTTCTTTATTATATTACCTGTAGTAATAGTTTCTGCTACAGGTAATATAATAAAGAAATTTTGTTCTTTCCTGAACTAACTCTCATTGCTGTGTCAATCTTTAAACACCAGCTTATGTCCTATTAATAAATTAAGTCCAAGTAGACAATTAAAAATAATATGTAAACGCATTTCTTTTAGTAGAAAAATAAGAAATCCAAGTGAAAGTGAGAACACCTGTGTTTACAATACTAGTAAAAAAAATCTGCACAAGGAAGCGAACACGAATTTAAAAAAAGCTGTTGGGACTAGGTGGGCTTCAGATTTGCACCTGTTGTGGTGTGTCGGAAGAAAAGAAACAAGTTCGGGAGGGGTCTAAACCATATATAGATCGCACTGACGAAGGCTTCTTTTTTGTCCATTCAGCCATAAAAAAATAAATCTGTGTGTTGTCTGACTTTTCGCTTTTACTAATGCTATTATCGTATTTGTTTCCGAAGATAGTTTATTCTTTTCTCAGTATCTAGATGTGTCATAAATTGATACATAAAGGACAAGAAGAGACATAAGTTCAAGGTGATCCTTCCATAATAAGAAACTATACTACCAATTAAAAGAAAACAGTTTAGAAGAGTGGGATATTTATTGGTATTTACCTTATTTTGTAAATTGTGATCTTTTCTGTGTAATTAACGTCGTTTATACTTAGTAAATTGTCTGAGAAATTAGTTTTTAAGCAAGTTAATTATGAAATATAATTTACATTTGAAACTTTGTAAACACAAGTACAAAGTTCATTCAATAATCTTGATTTTTCGCATTTGTTTGTCTGGTATCGAAAAATTAAAAATATGGTCAATAAAAGTGGCTCTATATCGAATTATGAAATTTGCTTTATCGATTTAATCACTCGATATAGCGCAATTTAGGTTTAACGTAGGCGTAATACTGTATTTTTAATATCCCGAGTATTTTACGGTAAAACTTCTAAATAAATCTTACATCTATTTATTGATTTTTTTCTTTGTTAGAAACTGGAAAATTCTAAATGGTGTTTTATCTTTAATTTATAGTAAAAAAAATCAAAATTGGCATTAACATTTTTCTTTGATATATATATAAGCCATATATATATATATAAGCCATGTATATATATATATCAAAGAAAAATGTTAATGTCAATTATCAGTAAAATCTTCATTAACTCCGACCCTATTCGAAATATAATACGACTCCCTCTATCTTCCTCCTCTGAACCTTTAACCACCAAAATTTAATAGCATCAATATCAATCACCATAATACAAAAACCACCTAGCAAAATTTCAGAAATTTTCGACAAAAGACATAAGAGTTATTAAGCTACAATGTACGTGAACAAAATCGAGTTACCAACTAAAAACCATCGACGTTTCAAGGTTCCGAGCCCCCAAAAAAATAATATAAAAATATATGCATGTCATTTTTTGACCGATCGCCTCACTTAAGCAGGTTTAAAATTCACTACTTAATATAACGTAATTTAGGTTTTAACACACTTAAGTACACCTAAATCGTAAGCATTTTAGATTAAAAGTAATAAATGTTAGATAAAAATTTATAAATTAAATTGTTAGAAGCTGAGAAATTCTAACAATTTGTTGATTAATTTATAAAAAGGGAGTCATATTTAAGTCTCTAGCTTAATTCATATCGGAATATGTAAAAGATAGTAGATAGATATAAAAAAATACAAAGTGTTTTTTAAAATTAATTCTAAAATTTTTAAAATTACGTTATAAAAATAATTCAAAAATTCAAATTTATCATCAATAAATTTTACACACCAGTATATAACTAGCATTAATATAATCAGAACCAGGTTCATCATCCATTGGAAGTAACTTAACTCTGGAATGGTCAACTAAAAAACGAAAATAAAAGAAAACTCTTACAAAAACACGGTAATAAGTTAATTTAATTGAAATCTTTCATTTAAAATACTGAAATTATCTGTATTTTTTGATTAACTAATAATGTGACAACTTAATCTATAACGGAGATATAAATATTTTCAAATTTATTAAAATTATCAATGAAAAATTAGAGATAATTTGATTAAAAGATACAAATATATTCAAGGATATAGAGATTATAGAGGAGAATATTTTCTAAAAAAATCTTACATGGTAATATATTAATCCATCTATTTTTTAATTTATTTTCTTGCATCTGTGCAGCGCTACAAGAATGACTTGGACTAATAGATTTCAGCTCCTAATTAATCAAAAAATTTCGTTTAAAATTTTAAAAACTTATTAATTATAATCTGTAACATCTAAAAAATATCAAAAGAATAAAAAAGGTAATGTTTTTACTTCAAATTCTTGAGAAAATCTCAGAGCAGAATCTGCCATCATAGCACTAACGTGACTGGCAAATGCGCTTAATTTTACGGGTCTATAAATATAATTATAATTAATTTCCATGATTTTTAAAGAAAAACAGCATTTAAATAAGTCAAAAACATTCATAAATTATCTACCTAGACTTGGTTATAACTGACATAAAACTGATATCATTCGTTTCTGTTGAAGTCTCCATTACGGTCTTCCCAAAAAATCTACTATAAATAATTCAAAAATTACAAATTAATCTAAAAGTTTTATTTAAAAAACACTTCTTATTCTTACTTGATAATTCCAAATTTCTTATAAATAAAAAATCCGGTTACTAATAACATTAAGAACAATAAACTAACAACAACAGCAACTATAATGCCCGATTTTGGTTTCTGAGCTTCTTCGGGTTCTAAAACAAAACAAAAAACGCAGAATTAATAACAAAGAAAGCAAGAACTTCCACAAACTTAATTTTAGATACCTGTTTCTGTACAAATGGGAGGAGTTTCAGCGAATCCTGAGGTTGTATATCCCCTAATTTTGATGCTAAAAGTAAGAATTCAAAGAGTATTATTGTATCATAATTATTATAAATAGTCAGGAAACAATTGGATATTTTGGAATAATGTTTAAATCGCTTACCTGTAACGAAGGCCTGGTCTTAAAGGTCCATTACAATAATCTTTAATCTTATTATTCTTACATCTGTTATCATACCCCAAAGTATAGTTTATCTTGCACGAGTTACTGTCGCCAACTGGTTTACATTTCACAGACTCATTTACTAAAAAATCATTTTCATGCTCAATTTTATTACTTTTAAAAGTTTTAAAAACTTTTAACCATAAATTTTACCATTAAATGGATTCCAAGAATTCGGTGTAGCTTGATATTTAGTACAATTTTTTTCTTTAGTACATTTATACCACGTGGGTAATTTAGTTATATTGAGATTCCCTTGTTCTGGTTTGTCTATTAAAAAAAATTTTTAATATATATATATTGTGATATTTTAAGAATAGTGTAAATAAACAGCTATAAATGTAGCTAACTATAATATCATGCATGTTTTATTAAATTTAATATATCGCTTCAATTTAGGAGTGAATTAGCTTGAAACATGTGATGTTATGGAAGTAAAATTATTTAATAGAGTTTCATCGATTACCTCTTATTTTCATAAAAGTGAAATTAGAATTGCAGAGTTAAGAAAAATATCTGAATAGAAGAATTTAAAATTAGTAACATTCCCAAATTTTTTTGAAATTCATTGGACTCAATTCACTAAATATTTAATAAATTCAATTTTACAATCGTGGCAAGTGCTTGTAACATATTTCAACCAATCAAATGAACGAAATGCAAAAGGATATTACAATTTATTGATAGATAAAAATACTCTAACGTTATTAAGTTTTCTCGCGGATGTGATTGAAATTTTTTCAATATTTCAAAAGAATTTACAAAGTAACGATGTAAATGTTTTAAAAATGGTAGAGTATGGCAGTCAAGTTTGCAGTACAATTAGAAGTCTAGAAAAAAATAATTTACTGGGTGGCTGGTTAACTACTCTAAATAAGGCAATCGAAATTGATGAAAATGGTACGCAAAGATTAAAAAATATTGAATTAATTGAGTACAAGAGACGTAATAAAACTCATAATTTATACGTCTCCGAAAAAAAGATATTTCTGCAATAATTAATGAAACCGTAATGACACTAAGTAATTGTTTAGAAAAGAGAAATTGCATATTAAAGATGTTTTACGGCCTTTCATAAATTTTGATAAAGATGTAAATTTANCTTTGCTAAATTATTTAATTTAAATTTAGAACATACGAGAAGAACTCGTCTGACAAATAATTAATGTGCTCCATTTGCCTTGGCCTTTACTTGTCCACGCGGAAACCTTAAATTCGTACTTTGTATACGGCTCTAAATCGTTTAAAGTCAGGTTTTTCGTCTCTGTATTTTCATTCTTTTCATTCTTGTTTGCTGAATTCTGTGTAAGTTTACAGTAGTTAACTGTGTAATTTATAATATTTCCCACGTATGGAGATGGTTCCCCCCATTTGATAGTAATAGAAGTACTGCTGGAGTTGTGACAACTAACATTTGTTGGAGATACAGGCACTGGAACAAAGAAAATTTCTGAATTTTCTGCAGACCAAAATGAAAACATTTCATTATTTTGCATTAAACTGAGTATACATGCAATTACATTTAGAAGAAAGATGATTATATAAATTTTTAGAGGCAATTCAAATTAGAAATTATCTTTGGTTTTTCCAGTAGAACAACTTATATTGCTCATTAAATATTCACCAACATCTCTTAATAAACTCATAGACATAGAAAGCATAATTCGTAGCGGAGTGCAAATCTGAGGTCAAAAATTTTGCAGAATTTTCATTCCTCCACGTACAGTTATTACTTGCAACACAGGGTTAATTGAACTCATTGCTTTCATTCCAAGTAACATGATATCCATTGATGCTATAATTATGCAATTTGGGGGTTCCTAGGTAACATTCATAGTTCTTGAGTTATACGGGATCAAATTAAGCGAGTAGGGACCAGGAAATTCTGCAATCCATTCAATAAACAACATGCATCGGCCATCGTTAGTTTGGTTAGTGTTAATTTTAATTAGTTCCTATTAATTTAAATACCTGGATGTTTGGTCTTAACTTCAATTTTTTTCTCTGGACTCCTTAAGAGACTTCCATTCCACGTGTTAAATGCAGATAAACTGAATTCATATAATGTCCAAGAACGTAAATTCTCGACTGTCAGAGAAGTGTTACTTGTGTTAAGATGTTCAACTTCAGTGTTCGTTCTGCGTATTACCGTATAACCATTGATGGGTCCGTTGGGATCGGTAGGTTTCTGCCATTGTAATTTCACTTTGTATGGCTCATAAGTAATGTTTCTAAACTTTAATGGCTCACTAGGAGCTAAAATAAACAGTTAAACCAGAAAATGAGTTAAATACCAAAGCTCACTTTAAAAAATTGTTTAATTTAAAACAAAGCAACAAATTCAAGAAGAAATTTACACGGATTTTTAACGTATTAATCTCTTTCACTTTGTTTTCGGAGATTTTAGAAATTACGAATGCGATTATTTTAACAAAAATAATATCAAAATCCCACAACGAAAATTTGAAAAATCGATTATTAAGTAATATTTGAATTTTTAGTTTATAAATTCTTTTAAAAAAGTTACAAAATTCATATTGATTCTTTTGAAATGTCACAATTGAGCAATAAGCGTGCATTTTTTATGTAAAAAATTTAAATTCAATTCTACTCATAGATGGCATTACAAGTACAATTTCTTTTATTTAGAAGTTGATTTTTTGGAGCATCAATATAAATTATTTTCAAAAAGCCCATATATATATATATATATAATTTCAAAACGTGTAAAGATACTCTAAACAACACAAACTTCCAGAAAAAAATCTCAATAAAAAATTTCCTTTTCTGATGATACTCAACCGCATAGAGCATAAAGAGGGGGAGGGAGGGACAGAAAATTTCAATATTTGCAAATTTCAGTGAATGTCTCGTTGAAATTAATCGAATCCACAGTGGCAACTTAGATTTCAAAACAGAAAAAAATTTAATGTCAGATAGAATGATTTGAAAGGACATCGCTCGAAAAATGATTCTCCCTCCCATACGACAGTACATCGAGTCGAATGAGAAGGAATGTAAAGGACTAGTAAGCTATATCAAACAAGTTCTCTTCAACGAGTAAACAAGGTGAAAGATCTTTCTTACGTAAAGCATAACAACCTTTTAGTTATGGCAACATTTTTCACTTCACTATCTCCTTTCAAATGATTGACAGACTTGTTTTTTTCTTTTCTTTTTAGCGAAAATATCAAAAACATCGCTAACAAATGTACTCGGTAAGCATATATTAATCTTACCGATGTGTAAATATGTGATTTGCATTTCTTTTATTTATTTACTCTTCTAAAACCTCTGATAAACGAATCCGAAAAACTTTTTTCATTTTTTGTTAGGGCCTCAGAGCAATTATAACTATACTTATTTAGTTATATATATTTAATAATTAAAATTTATATATATATATGTATTCAAACGATTTAATATCCAGAAGAATATTCGTTATCTAAACACGTCATTTAAAAAAGAAAATAAAAAATTACGTATTATTTCGGATGAAATTTAATTATTCATAATCCGGAAGAAGTAACTACTTTGAATAAAGAATTCTAAGTTTTAATGAATAAAATCATAGAAATTTTTAGAATTTGAAATTAAATAAACATATTTGGAAAAATGTTATACAATTTTCAAATCAAACAGAGATTGCTTGAAAAATTAATTGATATAATTCTTCCTTCGAATTGCAGTCATTGAGAAAAAATAAGTCACTATCCTCTCTAAGAGACTCAAGTTCGCTGCATTCACAAAGTAGTCTAAGTAAAAACTGGAAAATGGCTCATAACAATCCCTACACTTGTCTTTTCTGAAAAAATTTGAATCAATCATAATATAAAACTGTTAGTCTTAGTTGCATATAAAATCTTTTCGCTTTGAAAGGTATTTTTGAATAAATATAGACTTTTGAAAGCGAAAAAGTTAAATTACTCGAATACCAGCTATAAAATTTTGCTTTTTGTATACATTCGTTTTCGTAGCTGATTACGTTGTTACAAATACAGNTATGAAATCGGAAAAAAAAAATTTAAATGTTAGCTCTATCAGTCTGCATGTTTCTAAGTTTTTATGCTAATTTATGTTATTTATTTACGAATAATTTAATTGTAGGCCTAAATGTATAAAGATTTAATTTTGCAGTAGTTTAGAAAAAATTATGCACATGTACAATAAAATCTATGTTGTGTGTTATCCGTTATTATCTTCCGAGTTAAATATACATTTGTTTTAAAACATTTCATGCATTAAAAGAAATTCATATATAATATTAATTAATTAATTAAACAATTAATTTTAACTATTTTGTACCGAAATTTTATGAGTATGACGTGCTCTATATATTCAAAAAATAGCTTGTATAAGTGAAACGAATGAATTTACGTCGCGTATACAATTGTACCTACTATTTAACACACTGCCGGCTCAGTATATTTTCTCTAGTACCCAACCAAAATGTAAGAAAAAATTTGGCTTACTTGATTGGCTTTTCATTTGTAAAAATGTGTCTCAATCTTTACAGTTTATTTTGCATTGAGAAGCTGGTATGCTATGCAAAAAAAAGTCGAAAATAAGTACTGTATGAAACAGTAAAAAACTAAATAAATTTTAATGTGTGAGTGTATTGATTGATTTTACGTCTTGGCATATAACAATATTGCCAATCGAGGGAATGTCTATTAAGATATGGGAAGTATTTTAAGGGAAACTAGTCCCTACTCGCAAAGAAAACTCCGTAAACTTCACCAGCCACTTTGCATGTTGAAACACGATCCTTAGCCGATGAACACTGTTTATGTATAAGTTATTAGTGAACGAAATTTGTCCATTGAAGCATAGAAATTTTTTATATGTTATCGAAAACGTGCCTTCGAAAGCAAAGAATATTTCTTGTTTTCACGCCAAATTAGCTTCGTTTGAAACAAATGCTATGTTGTGTGAGTGCTGGGCCGGCATTTGTAACTTCTTGATGTACAGCAGCAAGACACCACAAAAACCGACAGCATAGTGACTATGTCACAATAAATGATAAACAGGGCTGTGGAGTCGGGTAAAAATCTACCGACTCCAACTCCGACTCCGACTCCGACTTTTCCTTACCATCCGACTCCGACTCCGACCAGGGGCGGATTTGTTACCAAAAGAGACTCGGAAATTCTGATGCCATCATGTGACCTCAGAATAAAAGATACAATAAATACAGTTCTAATAAAGATAAAGCGTAGAAACATTTTATTCCAAAGCTAAAAGACTTCTCTAAGTAATATATAAATGTTTATTCGATAATTTTTACTTATTTGGCTGTTATATATAAGCGAGGAAAAGTGTAGCGCTCGGTCAAAAAATGACCCCTCCCAAATTTTTACATTTTTGGACTCAGGACACCGTAAAATTTCGAGATATGCAAAAGATTCGAGGTTTTTTCTATATGTGTGGATGTTAGACTGTGTGGGGGGCAGTGGTGTAGCGTGGGTGTTAGCTGCCTGGGGCAGAGGAAAATTTCGCCGCCCCCTTATTTAGGTATCTCAATTTAAAAAGCTAAAATTCAGTTTCGTCACAGAATAAGTAATGAAAAATTCCTTGCTAGTGTTGCCATCTTTTTAAAATCACCGACCCGGACGGCAGGTGAGGTTTGTTCGAACAGAAGTTTCTTACGCATGCGCAATGTCATTTTGCAATGCGAAGAATAACGTGCAGTGCATGCCGATTGTAAATCAGTTACAGTTAGCGACTAGGGAGACTTGGATAGGAGTAACGCAAGTATCTAGATGACTTAGCCCTATTGGATATTGGAGGTGTATATGGATGCGAATGAATCGTACAAGAAATAAAAAAAAAGAAAAAAGGTCGACAGGTTGCGCACGATATCCCCGAAAGGCGAGTCGGATGGTAACACTATTCCCACTATTCTGTGCTCATTTCATTCGGTCCGAATCGTAGGTGGACGAAAATATGAAATAAAATGGTTCAAATTCTTACAAGATATTATTATTATTTATTGTGAAATTTTGCCGCCCCTAAAAAGTGCCGCCCGGGGCGGGCCGCCCCTGCCGCCCCCCTTCGCTACGCTACTGGTGGGGAGGCATGATTTTGTTCATTCAATTCAGTGGTCACAGTGGTCAGAATCGGAGTCAGATGGTTTAACACAGGAATTAGTTATTAAGCGTTAAAGTGGTTGAACTGAATCATGTCCCCATATACATTCTAACTTCTTAGGCGAGAACATCTTAACGGGTTTTACTGTACTACAGTAGAGCCTCGATTATCCGACATAATTGGGGACTGGGGTTGGTCGGATAACCGAAAAGTATGGAAAAATCTATTATTAGTGTAGTATATTATTATATCCCATGTAATTAGTATATCGCTATTAACCTACTTTGCGTTGAATTTTCATCGATGTTAAGCCTAACAAAAATTTTTTAAAATAATAATCATCGCTATTGTATCGTTAAAAATTAGAAAGTTAAGCCTCGTTTAAATACTGACTCCCTTTCATGGTCGAATGAGTGTTGCCAGCTAAAACACGTAAAAATAATATTAAAGTAGCCAAGACATAGCGAAATATTGTAGCGCCACATCAATAGCAGACATTTGAAATTTGCCGACTAGGACGGTCGGTTGATAGGGGGTCAGATAATCGAGGCGCTACTGTATTATAAAATGGCAAAAGCGCTTACTTTGAAAGTAGAGACAAGTTTTATTTTTATTTTTTTAAATTTTGAACGCTAATAACGAGTCAAATATTCATTGAGAGATATGACACATGACCACTTTTATGTCTTCATCTTGTCGACCTTTTATTAAGAACCAAAATTTAATAGTATTAATGCCCCTTTATATGCAAGCTACAGTGCCACATTTCATTTCTTNGAGGAAAATTTCGCCGCCCCCTTATTTAGGTATATCAATTTAAAAGGCTAAAATTCAGTTTCGTCACAGAATAAGTAATGAAAAATTCCGTGCTAGTGTTGCCATCTTTTTAAAATTGCCGACCCGGACGGCAGGTGAGGTTTGTTCGAACATAAGTTCCTGACGCATGCGCAATGTCATTTTGCAATGCGAAGAATAACGTGCAGTGCATGCCGATTGTAAATCAGTTACAGTTAGCGACTAGGGAGACTTGGATAGGAGTAACGCAAGTATCTAGATGACTTAGCCCTATTGGATATTGGAGGTGTATATGGGTGCGAATGAATCGTACAAGAAATAAAAAAAAAAAAAAAGGTCGACAGGTCGCGCACGATATCCCCGAAAGGCGAGTCGGATGGTAACACTATTCCCACTATTCCGTGCTCATTTCATTCGGTCCGAATCGTAGGTGGACGAAAATATGAAATAAAATGGTTCAAATTCTTACAAGATATTATTATTCTTTATTGTGAAATTTTGCCGCCCCTAAAAAGTGCCGCCCGGGGCGGGCCGCCCCTGCCGCCCTCCTTCGCTATGCTACTGGTGGGGAGGCATGATTT